AATTAGAGCGAGATGCATGTCATCTCGAGCTTGTTATTGTCGCTCAGGTGTCAATAACGAAAGGCTGGTGATCCAGCAAAAATTCATAAAAGCGTTATTATTTCTTTATCAATTTTTTTCATATTGCCGTTCTCATGAAGTTTTGAATTCTGCCTCACACATAAGTATTAGTGAGCCTACGAACAAAACTAAATACGTATTTTGCTTTCTGTAGATAGTGGCCACGTTGGTTTCAAATGGATTCTGAAATCCACCATTATCGAATCAATTTCCTCTTGAAAAGATTATTTGAGGATTTTAATAATTACATTTTAGGAGCAGCTGGTGTGCTCTCGAAGATCAGTTCCTTTCGTGCTCTTGAAAACCTCCGTTGCCTGCTTCCAAAGGCTTTCAAATTCTACCCCAAAACATGGTTTTTGCCTTTTCAGAAACAAGCTTTAATCAACGAAACAAACACGTCCGGTAAGTTTTCATCACTAGAAAGTTGAGATTTTTACCATCGTTAGTATAATGTTCGTAACGGCCAAAATTTGCTTGACGTGAGTATCAATAATGCAAAGGATATTTAAGTTTTAGGTGATGTCTCCCCCGTATTATTGCATCTGTGAAGCGACAGTTATTTTACGATGTCGAAAGTTATTACATTTATACGTTCGGTGTATAATTTGTATTTGTGTAACTTGTGTAAGCTTATTTGCTTACATTTCAGTAACAAATGTACATTATTCGTCACGCGGAATGAAATATACAGTTTCATATAACGTGCAAGGTAAAAAACGCCCCTGGATTTTGTTTCATGTACAAAACTTTTGACGTAGTTCACTTTTGACCTGTTCTTGTTAGGAGTCGGGTCAGGTAGGGTACAGGGAAATTTTTACAAATGGTAATGCGAGAGGGTAGATGCCGAAATGAGTAGCGTGTGGACGGATGGGAACGATAGATCGGAATGCAGTGGATGATTTGCTCAAGTCGCGCTTGGCCTCACGGCTGTTTTATTCTGTGGTTCGCCACGTGAAGCTGCATGTGTCGAGTCTTCCTTATTTTGCGTTTGTTTTTCAACTTTATAATGGATGCGGTATAAAGAGTGACTTTATTCTTATACGTATATGTTGATGTCCTCCCAGGAGGCTTGATGCCCGATTTAGCTGTTGTAGAGGACGTTGCGGAAATTCAGTCAAATTGGAAAGCTTTCTGAAGTACTCCACATACTCTTGTAATTGCTGTCACAGGATTGGGCAAATCTTAGCACTAATCTCATTCTAAGGGATGTTGACTCCTTAATCTCTTCTGGCAATGGGATCTTGGATGAAATGTAGTTATGCATCCAGGGGCCTCGATATAGGTTTCCCAGTTTGAACATCTTTGCGGTCGCTGTGATATCTTCCCCTGCTCCTTCATCCAAACGGGTAATCATGTGTCGACAACCAAAACCGCCGCATGAAAATGCATGGTTGGTGGTTATCAAAACTGAACTGTACTGATCAGACTGTTTTTGAAGTTTAGACTTTGTGCTATACTATCGGAGAAAGCCGTTGCATTACCGTATTCCTTGTGTTTGTTTACTCAAAACATGTTTTATTTTATATGTTTTACCATCATATCGTTGCATATATATCTATTATGTTACGAATTGGTCAGATATATCACCAAAAGACAACTGCACAAGCTAGGATACGGAATTGGGTGATTGACGTTTATGTTTAAGTTAAGAGTTGTCTTTAATTGCGTCTTTATTAAAACAGAAATCCAATGCGTGTTAATCTTGTGGTTACTGTATGAAAACGTATAAGTGAGTTGTGAGGATTTGGGTCATCACATGAGTTAAACGTTGGTGCGAGAACCCATAAGGATGCCAACGTTGCTTCAGGCTCATTATATGGGAATTGTTTAGGTCGCTCTTTTCGGAGGTGTTTTGTTCCGTGATCTGTCTGTTTGTGTTTAAACACAATCAAGTGGCTTTTTACTCTTCATTGAACAATTGTAGAGTCAAACATGTTGGTGAAGAAGTCCGTTTTTCCATAACTTCTTTTTTGGGCTAACGCAGTTGTATGCAGATAGGATGTGAAGAAATAAAACTTGTAAGCTCTTCATTATGCCAGTTATTTTGAAGGAAGTTTTTTGTGCATCATCTGGCTTAAGTGCATTCCGCTTTCTTGATTTCCTTCCATCTTAGAATATCCCGAACATAAATCTACATTCATTGTCAAACCCGATAGTGGCACCCAAGGTAAAGGAATCTACCTATTTCAATCTCCTCAATTCTATGCTATACGCCCACCGTTTGGTGAACAAGATTCAAAAGGGGAAAAACGGCACAGTTCGAGCACCACGGTTTCGGAAATGGGAGAAGAAACACGTGGACAGAATATCAACGGACTGTTACCCGCACTTGACGTAGTACAGCGTTACGAGCCCAGTCCTGTTTTACTACTGGGTTGCAAAACTGATTTACGTATCTATGTATTGATTGAATCGATTTCGCCACTGAGAATCCATGTCTACCGTGATGGCTTGGTTCGTCTAGCCAGTCGTCAGTACGAGCAGCCAAGCAAATCTAACTTAGGTAAGGTAAGGATACCTTATGTATGATTGGTGCTTTTTGCGCATATGTTTGTGCCACTTCATTTATTCAAATTTGGGTCGTAGCAACAATAACGCGTATTTTTTAAAACGTGAAATGTGAACAAGCTAAATAAAACTCTGAGGCTATCAGTTCCCGTTTACCTCCTCTTTGTGGTCTAAAACCGTAAACACTCAAATAGTAATCAAACTGTTTTACACCTGGTTTCCTCAAATGCATTTTAAACCTATTCGCCTTCATTGAGTATCAGACGCTGATATAGTTTGATCACAGGTACTTTTTTCCTGTTACATTCTCGATTGAAATAGATTGAAGCGCATCCCGGTATACAAGATTAACAATTCCCCTGTTATTCACTAAGTTAAAATACATTACTGTGTGAGAAGGCCTAACGAATTGTAACCCCCAATACATTTGGGGAAGGATTTTTTATGGTCACAGATTAACTTCAACCTTTCTATACTCCAAAAGGAAAGGAGAACATACGATATGATGCGGCTTCCGGCGACGAATGGTAATATCTTTGTGTAACTAGAATGGTGCAGCGGAAAGTACACAAATCTGAATTTCGTTAACAAGAAGTAAAAATGTGTTATGTTGAGCGAGTAAGGAAGACCAGTTCGAACGAAACTTTGAAAGTGAACGCAGTCAACTTGTTTGATTCAGTTTCCACATACTATTTAAGGCATATGTTGTCCCGAAATGATCGTTGATGTTTTGTATCAATAATATCAATTAACAAAGTACTGTCCGCTATATTCTATCCACCCCAAATCATGCCCAACCTTAGCATAAAACGGAATGACATTGACATCAGCGTGTTTTTGAAAGGGGTGATGTTTGCACCTAACTGATTGCTTCATAAGCAGTGTGGGTTGTCGCCAGTCTGGGGGTACTCCAAGGAATACGTTGTTTCCTTCGCTTCAGCATGAGTTAAACTGACATTATTAGTATTTCACGCTCAGATTTTATCTGTATTCTTCACCATGCCAGTGGTCTAAAAGACGTTTAGTCAGTTACCATTCGGATTGTCATATATCTGTTTTGGCAGGTTCTCAAGGAATTCAATTTACTTGCCGTTTATCAAACCCAAGTATTCAGATGAACCCATTGAGGTGTTCAGAGTCAACGCAATACCACAAAGCATTTTTCATTTTTACTTCCATTTTTATTCAGTATGTATATATACTTATAGTTGCACAAACAATATTCAGGCATGGGAAAGCAGCAATGTGGGGTGGTGTTGATGGTGGTCGAATAAGAACAAGTTCTCGGGGGCGAGAAGTTGGTGACTTTAGTCGTTTAAACACGGTAGCCCATTAATAGTTTCACGAAAAACAATGATGATTCACAAAGTGAAAAACTAAGCGTTTGTAAGACAACCGATTTGATTTGTATGATTATCCACGTTTTTCCCTACCACGTTAGATTTTCAGTGTATTTCAACTGAAGAAAATTAGAAACTTCGCTGGGATTCAGATACATGCATGGACTCCATTCATGTCTTTCTGCAGCATGCACTTTTCCCTTTTAGGAACAAGTCAACTGGTTTTTTCAATTTCCGTTACCCATACGGTCGGCAAATGCGGTTAGGCACGCCAACAATAATACGCATTTACAAATGCATGGGTTTGAGTCCCAAAATAATTCCTGATGTTTGCTCAACGTGAGTAGATTAGAAATTTGAATCAACTCATCGTGCAACTAAGCGCGACCATCATTTCCTGTAACACGGCTTAATTTCTTTCGTTGCATTCAATTAAAGTTCTGTAGTGTTATCGTCTTTTCAATCCCGTTTCGATATCTGAATTTATCCGAATCCCCTGTTCAACTACCTTTCGTTTCATTCGAATTGTTTAACTCCATCTCAAAAGATTTCGTGATATCTGCTCAACTCTTTTGCATAAATGTCATTTGACAACACAAAGTTGAACTTCATTACTTCTTATCACATTCCTTTGTGTGATGAGTGGCTGACACGGTAAACTTCATATTCGCTACGATCTACTGTTTTCTCACTTGTCGTTCTTTTACTTTTCCGTTCTTGAATAATACTTATTTGTTCAGCTACCTTTTGTGGATGTGCATCAGAAAAATTTTTTTATTAGATTAGGACAATCGACATGTCTACGGAACATGTTTATACTTTGTATTACCAATTGTGATGTAACACTCATTTTTTAAATGCTTTTCCTTACAAATAAAATAGAGCACAATGCACTTGACAAATTACGCAATCAACAAACTGAAACAACCATCTTTTGGTGCCAATTCAACACTGCAAGAAGAGGAAAAGATGGATGAATGTAGTCAAGTTATTGAAACTGTGGACAAAGGGACGGGAATATCCACGATCGCAACAACAACAACTAGTGCCACTGCTATGACAACCACAACTTCTCCATCATTAACCTCTGCGGCTATTGATAGTAATCACAAAGAAAACACGGCACCTCAAGCACAATGGCGTTGTAAAAAAAGTCTATCCAGCCTTCTATCTAACAGTCCCAACGATCGCGGCTTGTGGAGTCACTTGGATGCGAGGAAACTTTGGTGCGAAATCGATGATATAGTTCGAAACACAATATTTGCCCTAGTTCCGTATTTGAAAGTATCATACTGGGCCACTTTCGGTCGCCCAGCAAAACCGACGGATGTTTACAATATGGGAAAGCCGTCTCCTCAAGGTCCTCACTGTTTTCAGGTTCGTTCTGCGTTTCCTTTCGAACATTTTTGCTCTTATTTCATTAAACTGACATTTTACCATCTTGTTGCACAGCTTGATTGTCCCTTTTGCATTGTGCTGGATCTTCGATTTTGATCGTGTCAGTTGTTTTAAGCAACCTGCCTTGCGCGGATTACAGATCGTTGAAGTATCAGGAGTCAGAGAATTAGGTCTAAATGTTGAACTGCAATTGGACCAACAAGTCCTGGAGCGAACTTGTGAGCGAAACGACTTTCCTCATGCGAATTGCTTGATACTCGTTCCCATCTGATTTCTAGCCTGCGCTCAACTTAAGCTTTGCGAAGACAAAGTCAGTTCGCATTGAACAACAGTACCTCAAGAATATAACCGCGAATGAGACTATACTATTCGTCAAAGGAACTCCCCAATTTTATGATAAACTGAGATTTACGCGTCAAGTCACGTTCGCTATCGGTTGTGCGATTCCGTTCGTTCTTCAAGTCACTCTTTAACCCTGCTAGGATTTGTACTGATATTTGATTATTTACGCCCGAGCTGATCCCTCACATGTTTGAGTGGGTTGAGATCTGGTCATCACGATGACCACGTGGACCTCTTTATACTGTGATTCTGATAAGACTCGCATTCGGCTGGAAAACGATCTGCAGGTAACTTTTCGTCCCGAAAAAGTGCTTTGATAGTATATTTATTGGATCAGGGCTTTTATAAACTTTACCATTAGATAGATAGATACAATCATGGTGCGAATTCGACATTAATCACAGTAGAACAAAGAAGTGCAAATGAAAAGGATGTCGAGAATTGTAGATTGTAAAATGAATGAACTCCGAATTGAGTCTTTCAATAGTGATAATCGCTTTTTTGTGGTTATTGGTACTACCACATGGGTGTAATATTTCTGTCCACATGCTTCAACAAACGAGGTTCCCTGGGATTGTGCCTATGCACAACTTATAGGTGATCATTTACAGATGTGATCAATCTGGTAAGCCTCTTGACTTGGGTTATCTGTCCATGCTTCTAGATTTGTTCTTTTTACTTGCACAACTGTTCAAGTGACGATTATGTATATCAGTGCTTATTGATTAGGACAATTTCAAGCGGATAATAATGATTGAAGCCCAACTTAAGACAGTAACATGTTAGCAGAGGACAGAGGGGTTTCTGGTANAACCCCGAAAAATCTGTTGCGACCAACAGGGATTTTAACCTTTTCTGTGAACAGTTCCTTTGATTCATTATCCTGGGTCATCATCTCAATACTCCGTCACCGTTAGTCCTACGGTGTACAACCACACACCTACGATTTCCTAGATACATTACGGTGCATGTCTCTGAACGTTGAAAAATTACGGTTTGCTTGTATAAGTAAAAGCTAGTTGTTCATCAACTCTGATCGCAAAATTTACCACATTTTGAGAAACAAGCCTGTTGAAGGAAGTTACATCATGTTTACCAAAAGCACCAGCAAATATACACCAAAAATGACTTTCATGTAATCATGACAGTGGATCGGAAATCGAAAAATGTGTTCAGTTCAGATACTGATGATATAATAGGTGCACGGTGAATGTTTCCGATAAGCGTGGAACGAAGTTTGATCTAAAAATATATGGCTTATAGTCAATAACGTAATACGTGGTTCTATCCGTCCAGTGTTCCTAGATGAAGGCAGTTGATTTGCTCCAGTTGTTACTAAATCAGTTGAAAACAGCTCGATTATGGGCATTTGTGGGTTGTCAGTCCCATACAAATTCAAGTCATTCAATGGTTTAGTTTTCTGGTACAATCAAGGTTCTTGAAGCAGTATCCCAATATTGCTCTATTCCTTTCTTTGTGTGATGGCTTCTTACTCGTCTAATTTAACAATGGGAGGTATATATTCCTCGGTAAAATCAAAGGACTACCGGGTGAACAGCTTCGTCGGAAATTTATTTGAACAATCACGATTCTCATAACATAATGATCCCAAGGCTGTTTTCCCCTTATTTGTGTGGAGTCCGCTGTTCCATCGATTTTTTCCGTACATAGAACGTATATTTCTTATTAAAGTGAGCGGGATGTGCTTTTTTGACATTACACTGTTTATGACCCTCTCAGCAATCCGTGCGGTGTTCCTTTTATCAGACCACATGTTTTTCACAATCCACTTGGATCTTATTGGCGTAATTCACAGTGTGCAGTTGGCGCGATAAGTCATGGAGGTTTCCTAAATGCACTTTTGTAGGGACATTGGTAACCTAGTCGAAATGCAGCTGATAATGGTTATGTCCACAAACGTGATTTATTATCATATTAGGTTGAAAACAAAGAACTTGAAGTCACCGAATGATTTTTCACTGTCCTTTAACACCATCTGCTGATGACTGGAACGTTGCTACGAGAAAAAACAATGCTGACAGCTCGTACAGTGGACCACAAGGATTTTTGCGCAATAAATAGCCAGTTGTACTTATTGCAACAGCGACATAACATTATCTTAAAATTGCTGGGCGGTGATGTCCCAAAAGTGGAGAGCTATCAAGTTAGGTGGAACGCATTCCGACGTGGTGCACAGCTTACAATCCGAAGGATATTTTCAACTGTGAGGAGGTTGACTTTTATTCTGAAGCCGTTGGAAAATGCATTTTGATTGTACACGATGATCAGTGAGGTGTCCTTCGGAAATCCAAAGATCTTGTAATCGTTTTGCACACATATGCACTGATTCTGTTGAGAAACTGAAGCTGTTGGTCATCTAAAAAACGGTAACACCCCGTGGTTCAAACACATGAACTAAGCGCTTTTAAAAGTCGACTAGAATCATCACTGATGAACCCGAATAACCATGGATACTTTTTTGTGGATTGTGTGTATATATGTTGGTATTTGTGTGTTCTCCGAGCTGGAAGTCCCGTTTTTGGACTTTTCTTAGTATTGCTGGGCAACGTCATTGCAACTTCTAATTTGCTTCAGATACGAATTTCGGTTTCATCAAAAGTTGAGCGACCGATAATAAGAGCATCATTAAAGTAGCCCGACTCGATCCTGATGGACCGTTTTGACAAGTGTGCAGTATATTTCTTGGTTTGTCAAAACTAGTGATACTGAAAGCAAACAGTTATATAATTTTATTTAAAACCCATTCCTTTGAGGGAGTAGCGAAGGATTTGATTCAATTACCCGATGCGTTTCGTCATGTAAAGAATCGTGAAAACGCAAATTGAAAAGCTAGGAAGTAGCGTATAGCTGTTTTGACTTTGTTGAGTGCCATCAGCGGGGGAAGTCCATTAATTGAAGTTTGGATCGACATTTAGAGTTCACTGGTTGTCAGGTTTGAAATGCTCCCAATCGAGTTATAATCCCGAAATCTCATTCTGAGATGATTGAGGAGAGTGGCCTACATGGACCTTGCGAAAGCACGTTCCATAAACAATGTAAAACGGTCTGATCATTTGCCCGGTGGTCAAGCGGGTGGTACACTTTCGTTCTATGTGCGAGACCATAGGTTCGATCCCTAGTTGGGTTGACGGATTGGCACTGCAGATGAGGCCAAACAAGATCCAATTTTCATTGTTTGTGGCGATTATTTTATTTACATCTGTCATGAGCTGATGTAATAAATTATCTAAACCATACCCATATCAACCTCCGACAATGACATTCGTAAAGCTCTCCTGTTGTACTAGCTTTTGACAATGTCATGTCGGTGGAAGTTGATGCGTGGAATTTATTTGTGTTGTCGCTTCTTCTAATTATCCATACCTGTCGTGTTGGCGTGATTCACTCATTCATCGATGTTTATCGTCCCAATGACCCTCGGTATAATCAACATGTATGATCATTTTACCTACTTTCTGATCCCTAATTTCAAATTCACAACCTAGATTATCGGTTTTGATTTTCTGCTACTTGAACCTGATGCCAGGCCAGTTCTGTTGGAGGTAAACAGCAACCCCAGTTTACGGACCGATGCGTTACACAGTTTTCTTTTTCGATCACCACTTCATTCAAACACGCCGGAGAACAATTTGCCGTTGGAAGGTTTTCCCACACCTCCTTTGCCTAAGCGACTATCACGGGCTTTTTCTCCTTGTGGTCCTGTAGCTGAGGCTGCGACAATATTATCGCGTATCATGGGAGACCGATATGCTCAATTTGAGCGCAGCATTGTGGACGAGCAGATCAAAGGCGGATTGGTTAAATCCACATTGGAACTGATTGCTAATCGAGTTCGTGAACAACGCGCTAGACGAACCAGCTACTCAACACCGCCAGTCAAGAGTAACAATCACAGTTCGTTGATGCTAAACCAATCCAGTGCAACCAGCCGCAGTAGTTCCGCCCGAAATAGTATACCTTACGCCAAAACACCATTGCAGTTACCCCTACTACCTCACACACCCGATCGGACTGGTCGAGAGAAAAATAAATCCAATCACTCTTCACCTAGTTTAGTCCCGTTAACACCGAATCTGCGTAAACCCGTCAGTCCTACACCATCGCCCAGTTCATTTGTTGGTGATTCGTTTAACCTAGGCTACGGGTTGCTTGGAGGACAATGCCTTAACCCGGTGACCCCAGGACTTCCCGATATCTCAACGTCTGATTGTTTTCCGGATGATTCTTTTATTATCTCGTCGGATCGGAATAGTAACGCTTTGCGGAAATTTAGGTAAGTAAAAAAACAATCACTCGACTGATTGTTCAATATTTTTCCATCGACCTTTCAGTTTCGCATGTTGCAGTTCGGGTCACGGTTAGTTCAGCTTAAACTGTATTTTTTTTACGTACCCCTGTGTGATGAACAGCAGACGGGTGCGAAGACCTGCCCTTCAGTGATGGAAACCCGCAACCTAAGTCCCGGAACTTGGAGGGGTGAACCTTATAAGGCCTCGCTAGTTCTTATTGATACTCGGTCACCTATTTCCCTGCATACTCCTCTTAGTGTCGGAAACCTCTCCTATCAACCATATCAATATTTCATACAAGTGGATGCAGTCAAAGGAATGTTTTATATGCTGCTACTGTTTACCTTTAGCTACTGAGTAATCTTATCCACTCGAAAAGTAGTCACGAACATCGGAAAAAGTGCAACCAATTTGGTGAAACTTGATAGACAATTATTAAATACGAACTGCAAAAAGCGGTAACGCATTTGTAAAGTACGACGACGGATATTACAAAAGTGGTATTCACCAAAAGTTCCTTTCCATATAGGGTAACTGCATGATTTCGTATATAGTATGGATATTTGATTGGCTGGATATAGCTCACTTTATGGCAGTGATAGACGAATGCGAACACCTGGCAAGCGTCTCAAGGCAAGCATTGGTTAATGGTTGAATCACAACAGGGGTTAAGGTTAAGTGGTATGCCGGCTTTCTGTTAAGAATAACAATGAAGAAAGAACTCAGCTGATCGTCGAAAAACGTTGAGAGATAAGCAGTGAGAATTATTGCGGATAAAAGATTCATAAATGACTATTCTTGATGGCATCAGAAATATTCATTGAGAACATTTTCACGCTTTCTTTATGGAAAACCACAGGACAATGTAGTCACCGTTGAAATCTACCTGTATCGTTAGGCGTTACACGTAACATGCTACACCTGTTTTACGGTCAGAATTATTGTTAGTGTACGACATCTAAGATAATAGTGTCTCCTGTAACTGTATTATCAGCTTTACTTATTCATCATTCTCGTTTGATCACATTTTATTAATTCCATGAAACAATTCTTTCCATGTGATCTCAACTGATATAAATCGATCATTTGCTTCTCTTGCTGTCATCATTCAGACAAAGACCAAAGCTGCCTCGGCTTACTTCTGATTTGGAATACGGGACAACTGTAACATCCGATACGAATCGACGTAGCATATCCCGAGTATTGAACACTCCGCGACTGTCCAGCTTAAGCAGTCCACAAAAGCAAACAAACATGGGAAATGTCCAGCTGAGTCGATTACCGGGTGAAATTCACCGAGCCAGTTCTCGCCGTTCTCGGATGCCAATCCTCGTGGACTGTAATCGTGATCTGTCCGTTTCCAGACGAGATTTGCAGAATCAAACGGACAGCATTTGGCCTAGCAGAGAACGTGTGACAAACATGAACCAGCAGAGCTTTCATGAATCTTCACCCATTATACGGTTTGTAATACACCATTACAACACATTTTGCATCCTATCAATCATCCGTATCGTTTGTATCACACATTCTAAATGGTTTCCTGTTGAACCGAAATCTTTTCCATCAAGTTCAGTGGTTTAATTAGGTCATAGTGCAATTTGAATGTGCACGCATAACTCCACCCATCGTTGTTCATTGAGAGACTCACTCCACAAAATCTTTACGGCCAGTGACTTACAAAGTACTTTTTCACAAGTCCACTCAACTGGATTATCACTGATAGTGGGAGATGACATTTGAGAAATCTGCCTTCTCTATTTGAATTTATGACGAGAAAACAGTACCTCAATTTTTTTACGAATTGATCAGTTCATTTACGGGGTATTTGAGCGCTGTTTGAATCAAGTTCAGACGCGAATAAACGAACCTAATTGACCGTTCTTGGTTGATGTCTGAACTTCGCTATTCAAATTTTTCACGAGGAAACAGTGTCTCCAGCTTCTTAAATACCGTCTCCCACTGCATCAAAGTGATTGACCGAATACGATGCGCACACCGTGGACTGCATGGTGTGCAAGTCTGTGTCTGTGTATCCCCCTTTGGAACACCTAATCAGGTGTGCATCTTAAAGCAGTTAAATGTGGCACTCGTTAATGTGAATTCAACTCAACCTGCCTGAAGGAAAGGAATCGTGGCTGATGCTATCGTGTTGTCTTGATGCAACGGCTACCCATTAGTTTGGTGCAGGAAGATGGCACTTCTGCACATTACTGTAACGGTAAACAATATGCTCTCTAGACCTGCGAACGAATATTTTGGTTGATTTTAGTGTCTGAGAACAAATAATTGGTCTTTTTGTTGTTATTCCTTCTTCAGGATTCGAAGCCGACAGTGTTCTTTATAGGAAATTCCCATAGTTGGAAAATATATTGCGGTTATATTGGATTTAAGGAAAAAGGGACTAAGTGGAAATTTCAGACGACCACTTGGAACTAAGACTTAATTGAGTCCAAATTTTTATTATGGGAATAGCCTACAAGCTCATCCCATAGATTCGGGTTGTGGTTAAAAAACAGTGATACTTACAATTACTTGTGTAAAATGTCACGTGATACGTGCTTCTTCCACTGCTGCACTCAGCTTCACTTATGGTGGAATGTAAGGAGAGTGCTAATGCTTCCTGAAGTTTCAGTTTGAAAGATTCAATGCTTGGTACATAGACAATTTGGGGTGGGCGAGAGTTCCGGATCGAACACACTCTGACCGCGAATGACTGACGCCGGCATTCCAATCGGCATTTTAAGACCACTAGTTTGAACGGATGTCCTCTAAGATGAACGTTGGGTGATAATTTTAGCAGCGGGCGACGAGGATGTCTTGGGTTTTGCATTATTTGATATACCATAATCATGTCTCCTTTGATGCTCCGGTAGTGATGGGAATATAACCCCAACGACTCCCGTCTCTCTGCGTGTGAATAGCGATTCAGCCCCTTAACCATTTTGGCGGTCATCCTTTGTAGACGCTCCAGCATTTTGCACTCACGTTTTAGCCATGGATTTCATGCCTGGATAGCGTACTCTGAATGGGCGAATGTATACTGATAGCAGACAGGCAATAGCGCTGACTCAAACCGGCCAAAGACGCCTAAGCAAACCGACATTTTTTACACCTGCGTTCGACACCTTGGCACAGTAGAGTGAGCAGCTTAAATTTTCTTGAATGATGATTCCCACGTCCTTCTCACTTGAGGCGTGTGGCAGTTGTTCATTTAACAAGAAATAGGAAAGTAGCCCCTTGTGTCGTGGAGATAGAACCCTACACTTTGGCACATTGAATTCAATATCGTTCAAAAGAGACCAGAAATGAGCTGCTTTCAGCGTTTTCTGGAGTGCCAGCGACCCCGCTCGTGCACGAATACTGAACATAATATCGTCGCCATTCTTGATAAGCGGAGATTTGAAATGATCAGCCTTGATGGATAACGGAAAAGTGCAAAAGAAACGAGGATAATGTTCAGTCACTGGAATCAGTAAGAGGCGTTTTTGATCATGAAAACTTGTCCATAGTGAACAATTTTAAGGATTGGCGTTTAGTTCAGTTACATGTGAGTAGTGGTGTAGGACGAATTATTTTGATAAGTACTGACTATCCTTCGGACTTCACCTTCAGGCATAATCCGCCGTTCACCCAGTCAACCATACACTCAGAAGGACCAGACTCGAGTTTCACTTTTATTAGAGCTCATCAGAACAAGCATGAATTGGCAATTCGGTTCAGCTCTGGTATGAGCTGGTTGGCACAGTGCTAACACACCATACGACGGGTCCGGATATGTATGTATTCACTCACATCCGATTCCAGACTCTGTGCCAAACAAATCGCGGTACAATAATCTTTGAGGAAAGAAAAAGCTCAATGGCGCGATACTACTAGGTAACCTAACCCAAATTGAATGAATTTTTTTGTCGAATGCACAACCGGAGTTCAAAGCCGGGCGATGGAAAAGCACTACTTATGAGCTCTAATAAGAATGAAACTGGAGTCCAGTGCTTCCGAGAGTATGGTTACATGAATGAACTGAGGACTGTGTGAAGCTGAAGTATGAAGAATACCCAGTTCAGATCAATTCTAAGAATACCATTATATTTGAGCATCGGTTTCGCGTTCAATATCTCTTTCAGCTAGAATATAAATTACTTTTTTCCCGTTCATGCCATTGAATCCATCAACATGTTGTCAAGCGCATGTTGACAAATTTCAAGTTTGCCGCTAAGAACGAGAACGATTGTTTGAAAACATTGTGCCTTTTGCGCCACCACTGTACTGTGATATTTCGTTCATTTCTAACATGCAACCAATTTCATGCACCCCTTTGTTGTGCGAACACGCAAAGGGGACCAATTGATGTTTTAGAAGCCAGTAACCTAAGGTATCAGACGCGAAATAGTATAACTTCTTTGGACCAACTATACCATTTTAAGATAGCTTTGAGAAACTATAATTTTCATTTGCGAAACCGTCAGTTGGAATTGAGAAACCATCACTTAGATTTGAGAAAGAAATGCTGTGATTGGATCCGCTTCCGTTCAGCCCACCTCATTGGTCAATTGATCATACATTTTTTCTACCCC